TATATTAGTCATCAAAAGCTCTCCTCAATCAGTAGGGCAATAAGTAAGATTAAGGGGAAAAGAGAATGAAGAAAAAAAAAAAAGAAAAGAAAACAAAAAGCCAAAATAACGAAAGAAATAAAAACCCCAATAAAACGGCGGGATTAAAAACGGCAGCACCAACGAACCCCGCAGCCCCCGCGGAGAGCGGCCGGAGCGCGGAAGGCGTGCGCGGCTCCCCCGGGAAGCGGGTGCGCGGGTGCGGAGCGCGGCCCCGCTGCCGTAGTACTATATCCCCCGCACAGGACGGGCGCCCGGCGGCGGCGGGGGAGGCCGGGGAGAGGCTCGACCGAGCCCGCCGCCACCATTGGCCCCGCCGCGGCGGGGGCCGGCCCCACACCGGCCTCAATGGGAGCCCGGCCCGGCCCCCGGGGCGGTGCTCGGGAGAGACAACACATGGGGGAGCCCCCCCCCACCGCAACCCGGGGGTGTGCGGGACCCCGGGAAGGGCTGTGCATCCCTGGAGAGGGATGGGGGGGTCCACGCAAGCCGAGCCCCCGGGCACCTACAGGGTGGACGGAGAGGGGTCTGCTCTGGGTTTGGCTGCTGAGTCGGTGGCAGCAGGTGATAGCGATGGTGTCGCTGGTGCTGGGCAAACTCCTTCGCTCCTCTGCCTTTCCTCACGTGAAATTGTGGCTATTTTGCTGTACTTTTTGGAGATTTCCTGGAAAGAGCTTGTGCCCAGGTGGCCAAGCATCCTGGCCTGTATCAGGAACAGCGTGGCGAGTAGGTGACCCGAGAGGTGACTGTCCCCCTGTACTGGGCACTGGTGAGGCCTCACCTTGAGTACTGTGTCCAGTTTTGGGCCCCCTACCATAAAAAAGACATTGAGGCGCTGGAGCGGGTCCAGAGAAGGGCGACAAAGCTGGTGAGGGGTCTGGAGAATGAAAAAAAAAAAAGAAAAGAAAACAAAAAGCCAAAATAACGAAAGAAATAAAAACCCCAATAAAACGGCGGGATTAAAAACGGCAGCACCAACGAACCCCGCAGCCCCCGCGGAGAGCGGCCGGAGCGCGGAAGGCGTGCGCGGCTCCCCCGGGAAGCGGGTGCGCGG